TTCCAAACAATGCGCTGTTCTTGAAGAATGCCTGATTCTAGCATTCATGTAGAACACTCACCAAACTCCAGACAAAAAGTCCCTTCGCTCTGGATAAATTATGTTACATTACTAGTCTGAAAAACCTTTTTGTTTAGATTTTCTTCAATGAAGGTGGCCATCTTGCAGATACCACCAGCTTCCAAAACAGCTCTGAAATCCTTCACTCCCAATGGAGAAGAGTCAGATAAGCAACAGTGCATAATGAACAGCTCTTTAGCTTCTAGGATCAGTCCTAGATACGCCACCCTATAAGGAATTGCTGCTTTCGGCATTCCATTAAGTGCTTGGTCTAATTGCTCCCTCCTGGCACCTGAATAAACTTCCGTGGACAAAACCAAAACCAGGCTGAGCCCCAACCACAAGGGATTCCTGCACCCAGCTGAAGACCTCTGGGCCCAGCGAACTGGGGCTGTCACAGCTCTCACCACGGGAACACTTCTGGCCCCAGTGCATTCTGCCTACACCTTTTGCTCCACGCCTGCTCCTTTCAGAGGTATTCTCAGAAATCCAGATCTTCCTGCGTCACAGCAGGAAGTGATTTGTCACGGTTATTCCCTGAAGAACTTCATTTTCTGGTAGTGGAGAACGGTAGGAACAGGCAGAGAGCAACTGAGTTTGAGTCTCACTGGGCAAATTACTGGCCTGACGTTTAAGCCTAGGTACTCAGAATTAACCATAAAAATCAGTTTAACTCAGAAGTTGCCTTCTCAATTTGCCAAACAGGAGAAACGCTATGATCCAGGCAGCTCCTCACCCACATCTGACAGTACCCAAGACTTCAAAAACAAAGTGAAAAACAAAGAAAATTCACAATGCGTAATCAAAGAAGAGATTCTTCTGAAGGCTTACCTCGAGCTGGGACATTTACTTTTTTGTTTTCCTCTGTCCTCTCTCTCTTATCTTGCCATTTTCACACAAGAATTCCCAAAGACAAGTCCTAAAGAATACAGCACAGATCACAGAATATGCCTAGGGTTCCCTGGTGTCCTTCTGGCTTCCTTGGCTTCCAGATGGCAGGCCACGCTCACAGGCAATCTAGCCAATAATATGGAACCGTACAGATGTTTTTAACTGAATCAGTAACTATTTTCAAGTGGCTCTGTGGGAATTTTGTCGTATGGTTGTTGTTTTTTTTCTTTTAAACTAATGATGTAAGCGGAGAAATGAGGCCATGTCTGGTGACACTGTAGTCTGACTCTAAACTATCAAAACCACAGTGGCCAGAGGCAGGACTTTCCCTCGATGCTTTAATTCACCACAGTTAAGTACAGCAGAAGATGCAGCACCCGATTCCCTCTGCAAGCAGTTGTGTACTGCAGAAGCTGTAGTCATTCACTCACACTCAGAGCACGCCGCACAGCACATGTCCCCTTTATCTGTTAGGTTTCAGTTCACTTCTTCACGTACTTTTGGGCTGCCACTTACCCCCATTTACTAGAACATTGCTGTTCTCTGGCTTGCTTGCCTTCATTAACAAAGGTAACCTTATGAATATGAAAAAGAAAATAGGGAAGAATATTCCACTACTTTATCTTTGGAAGTAGGACTGCTGAGCATCGTGCACCGTGAGCAGCTTCAGGAAGAATAGATAAGGATTACTTTATCACAAAGGTGCCCAAGATGCTCATCCTATGGTATTGTGAAGCTGCAGGGGTTTTTCTGAGGAGCCTGCGTTGCAGCAAGCAGTCCTTCACTTGAGTACTGTCCTCAAGCCTGGTCAGCCGTGCACCAGCAGCTGTCAGGAGACCACACTTCTGACGTAGATCATCTGGAAAGATCTGGTCTTGCTCTAGCACAAGGGAATGGGACTTTCCTATTTAAAATGTAATTGCTTTACTGTATTTTCTGAAAATATTTAAATGCCCTCACTGAAATTGTCTTTAGCTTGGTTAAACACAAGCAGGCTGTTAGAGCTGCTACATCTACATCAGTGTCTGCCCACTGTTCTACTTCAATTCTAGAGTCAGCTCATCTGTATAGTCCAAATCAAGCTGCTGAAGAACAAAACGGCACTAGGAACACCAGAAAAAGGCAACACAGCTTGATTTATTTTGAAGTTTCCCATTCATCACCATCTTTTCCATACACATATGATATTTTACCCTCGACTGTTTTGATACTTCATCAATTAATTCTTTACTAACACAGTGCAGTTCACAAAGAATACATTTCTGGCACTCAGTGGTTAGTGCGTCTCAGCAATGGACTGGCCTCCTGAGTTAAGGACCTCAAAGGTCTGTGTAAAACCCTCAGCTTTTTTAATGTTATTGTTATTTTCAGGGAACATCTCTTTGCGGGATGCAGCCACTGCAGTGAAACAAGGGCTATCCCGGAGAGCAGAGATCTTAATGTGTTTATGAGCAGCTAAGCTGTGGTACTGAAATCACTGAGGGAAGAACTGCCACAGCCCTGGTGCCAACATCTCCATGAGCACAGGAGATGGGGTTCAGTAAATGAAGGGTGAAGTGCGGGTCTCGACTTGGGACAGGGAGCAGGGGTCCTGCTGGGGAGGACGATGGTAGGTTGGTGATTATGAAAGCACACGACCAAAGGCTACACAGGAGAAATTAGAGGCATGCCTTCCTATAGGCATGAAACAGCACGTCTGTAGTGACCACTGTCTCATGATCCACCCTTGGCTCCAGCAATGATAACAATGACTGCTGCTTATGCCCACGGTTGCTATTGCTGCTGCCAGCGCAACATAAACCTGGGAACCCCTGGCACAGGTTACAACCACAGGCTGAATTCCCCTTTGATACTACTTGAGCCAACGTGAGTTCTCAGAAAATGTTGCTACATGTCTCCATGACGCACTGCTAAACAAGCACCTCTTATTTTGTACTGCCTTCAATATAGCAGTGATTTCTGTGTATGGTCCCATATGCAGTGCTCTGCAACAGGGTGACTTGGAGTTGGGTAACTTGGCAACACCAGTGTCCTTGGAGAAAGCTATATGCTTTTCTAGCCATATGTGAAACAACAGTACCCTACTCAGGGCTGTTTCTGGCCATCAGAAATCACTATGCAACAAAAACGCCACAATGAATGCCTTTGTCTGTGTCTCAACTTCTCTTATCTAGGATAAAACAAGCAACTCTGTGCCAAAGCCTTAAAACAGCCAGCACCCCCAGCTCTGAGGCTCTGAAGGCAGCCTGGACTTAGCAGGCAACCACCGTGGAGGTCAGGTTAGCTGGCTGACCCAGGACATTACCCAGTGCTATCAGCGTGAAAGACTTGAAGGGCTGTTTTCACCACTGCTTTGGCTCACCACAACATCACAAGGCATGTTCCCTTTCCCCTCACCTGTCACGAGGTACTTGCAGATTACAGAGGTCTCCGGGAATGAAACGCTACTGACAGCAACAGGGAATTCTGTGCTCTTGCCAGAGCAAAAACCAGTCAGTGGGGAGAACTTGTGCCGGATCCCTGACCCTTCATCCAGGGGAAAGGCAACTGGCTTCAACGCCACGTTAGGCTCCCTTCAGAGGGTGCAGAGGGAACTTCAGCTTTGCAGTCTGCAAGCAGTCATGGAGGAGGTGGGATGAACACACTGCTGGCAATGGAAAGAGCTTTTGCCCTTCTTTCTGAAGCATGTCTTGTTCTCTTCTGAGAAACCAGGTCTGATGAGTTCAGCTGCATAGTCTCCTACCTAACCAAGTCTTCAGAAAGGAGAAGTCAGGGAAGAAAAAGCCATCTATAGAAAAGGTGGGTTTGATGGGAGCTTACTGAGCTGCAGCACGTAGCCTTGTTGAGATGTGATTATTTCTGCTCTGGCTGTACTTTTGGCATTCAGCAAGGATAGCAATGGTCCTTTCTTCTTAAAATTAGTTAATGTTAAATAAGTTTTAACCTGAAATGTCTAAATTCCGAGAGGAGGAGGAACGCTCACTAGCCAATCTCGAGAAGTCACCTGGAGCCAGAAGGCCCGTTTCTTCAGCTTGTCACACACAAATCCATCCAGGTCACATGGACTTCTGCGGTCTCAAGAGCTCAAGCTTCTTAACTTCCTATCATGAGATATTTATGCCACTTTTATAAGCTACAAGCTACTCAAGACTGCCTGACTATTACAGCTTAAATGTATAAACGACATTCTCAAGTGAACATGCTATCATTTTTATTTTTTTTTAACCTACACACATGCACACACGATTTGTTAAAACCTGAGAGCTTTTTGAGAATCAAGGGGAAACGTGTTCACTAAAAGATTTACTAAATGTAGATTGTTTCCCCAGCAAAAATAATAATAATAATAAATAAAGAATAACAGCCAAACACAGAGATATGCTCAAAGTTTTTGGGGATACAATTAGCTTTCACTTGGATTGTTGTTTTAGGATTGTTTTGTTGGTTTTTTTTTTGCTCCTTGATGCTAACTGCTGTCTCCTCAGCCAGCTGAACACAATCAACTGCTGTTCAATGGAAGTTACTCTACAGCAACAGTATTTCATAGATCTTGTGATGCTTTGCCGGAACCTCAAGTTCTCCTGTGCACAGACATATGCTTTGAAAAGAACAGCTGCACTTTATCCACATCTCTTTACTTCACTGTCATGCCAACAAGAAAAAACTTGAAGGGAAGCACGTTCACTAAACCCGCTACGACAAACACAGACACAGAACAAAGCAAGAGACAGCAGCCAATGCCAAGTCCTCCAGCACACATTTTTAGGGCACTCCATAGAGTCTCCTTCCAGCCAGCCCCCGTGCAGGGCCAGGACTGGCACAGGAGCTGTGTATGCACTGCATCACACTGGACACACTCATCGATCTCCCCCAGCCACAGCTCACCCCAAGCCTGCAGCCAGTAAGTGCCCCACGGTACTGCTGAGCCCATCAGAAAAGGCACTGAAGGGCACGGCTGAAGAGCCATTCCCATCTCAACACTGCATGTTTCACACTGTTATCACACAGCTCAGACTGCACAATGACAGCTAAGCATGGGAGTGACTTACCTCGAGTGAAGTCCACAGTCCCAGGATGAGACTGCCTTGGCCTGCCCACCACTACAGCTCCCTTCACACCACTGAAACTGTTTTAAAGAAAGCAAAAAATAGGTCATCCATTCTTTGGGAATGTCTTCTTTCAGGAAAAATGCTTCACTTTTTTTTTTTAATTTTTAACTAATTCTGCACAAGACTGATGAGCAGAAGAGCAATCCCTGTGCAGCCACTGTTACTTACATTGACTCAGCTGGAAAGTGACACCCAATGGAACTTTTGAGAACAGGAACTTTCTCAGGGCTAAATGGTGAAAGTAAGGCACATTAAGCCTGACTTGCACCTATGTCAGCACCCAGATTGCTCTACTGGAGGATCCAGTGCCTTCCAGATGTCTAGGTTTATATTCCACGTCTCCACCCAATTTATTCTACCTTTCTGTCAAAGATCAGAGGCAAAGGGTTTGATTCACTTGTTCAGTTAATCGAAAGTTTATTTTTGCATTCTTTCTACTCTTTTCTCCTTGTTTGCTGCTGGCTTCTGCATTTTTGTGGAGCTCCTGAATGGCAGGTATGGATGACTGCCTTGCAGCTTGCTGTATGGCACAGGCAATGGACACTGTGCATTCTGAATGCCAGGACACCTTGCTTCTTCCTCAAGGAGGAAACAGTAAAGCACCTGCTCCTGAGTGAGGCAGCAGCTCCTATCCTTGCAGGAGCTCAGAGGGAACCAGGACATGCTGCTATCCCAAAGGTGAGAACCACTACTGAAGCATGGAAAAGAAAGCATGTCACTTTTGGAACCAGCCTCTGGCTTGCACTTTCCCCTTCATTGTGGCCCTAAGAGGTCAAACTGCTTGAACAAAGTGAAGAACAACCCCCTCCTTCTCTGAGCTGCAGTCACTGGCACACCAAGACAAGCTGTGTGCTTGCTGCCAGGCTCAGTGAGTGCTTTCTTCTCCACAGCGCTGCTGCACACCATGCCCTCCTGGGTACCACAAACGTTCTGTGCACACCATGGCTTCCTGAGCCAACAGAGTCTTGCTGTCTGCTCTCATGGAGGCTATCAATCTCAAAAAAATAGTAGAGATTTCCTCATCTTCACAAGTTCTACAAGCCTCGCTCTGCTCAGGTGCTTTGCCTTCCTTTGCTTCCCTGATTAATCCTCACCCTACAGATATGACCCTACTGCTCAAACAGAGCTCAGGTTGGCAAGTCAAGCCAGCCACAGGCTGCCTGCCTGCAGGAGTCTCTGGTGGCACAGAGCAGGGGCTACTCACACAGACATGAGGGCAGGAGGGGCTCTGGCTGCAGTCAATTGCTTGCTCCTTGTAGAGGAGTTTTATCTCTGTGCATCCCAAGGCCACAGAACACACTGCATCCTGCAGCACAGGGAGGCTCTTTCTTGGAAAACAAACACAATGTAAAGCCTCCTGGTTTTATGTCTCAGTGCACCTTTCAAGCTACAAAACAACACCAAATGAGACCAAATGAGAACTGGGATGCTTTCATGAGTGACGGTAAATCAGAGCACTGCTCACACTGCATAACAAAGACTGCCCAAGTTTATGGGGCCACAATATTTAACTTCAACTAAGGAAATAAGGACCTTAGAATTCCTCATTTAATCACAGATGTCTGAGGTAATATTTGAAACCTGGGACCACACTTCTAAACAAAACACATTTGCCTAAAAAGCCAACAATATCATTTAATGAAAAGAAGCTGCATGCATATATTGCCATTCCACTGCCACAGAATGGAAATGAGTAACTTCTTCACCATACAATCCTTGCAACTGTTTACTTTTTCTGAAGGGATTTCTCCTTTACCAAAGCTTTCACAGTGGCCGTTTTCCTCCCCTGCTGTAAACTGGATCACTGTTAACGTCGTACAATTTTTTGTTATTTAAAAATCTGTACCATAGAATCACAGAATGATTTGGGTTGGAAGGGACCTCAAGGATCATGAATCCCACCAACCCTGCCACATGCAGGGCCACCAACCTCCCCACTTAATACTAGACCAAACTGCCCAGGGCCCCATCCAACCTGGCCTTGAACACCTCCAGGGATGGACGGGGCATCCACAGCCTCTCTGGGCAGCTGTTCCAGCACCTCAGTGCTCTCACAACAAAGAACTTCCCCTGATATCCAACCCAAATCTTCCCTCCCTCAACTTCAAACCATTTCCCTTTGTCCTGCTGTTATCTACCCTTTCAAAGAGTTGAGCTGTACTGAGCATATTATTTTTTCATACACTCTCTCTCACACTCTCTGTCTCCTACTAGACGAGAAAGAACAAAAATGTTCATCTCAGCTATCTAATAAACATAAATGCCTTCTGCAAGTCTGAATCAGGCTGCGGAACAGATATTATATACAGATAAACAGAGTGCTGAATGATTTAAGACGCAACAACAGCTAAATGCAACATGGAATGCATTGGTAAAATTACAAATTAGCATTAATGCGCAATCAATTCAACTAAAAAGGGAAGACAATGTTGCTGCGAAGAACAGCCTTTTTTTAGTCAAAATCAATGAGAAATCAATGGTATAGTTTAATGGAAGGGGAAACACTAGGAAAGGAAATATATTCATATTTCAGAGAACTCTGCAATTAACTGCAACACTGAAAATGAATATTAAGTATAATTCTCCACTTCCTCCTTGCTTGCATGAGGACAAACAGTGCTCAAATTTGGAATAAATCAGTGCAAAGTTAATACAGCCCCATTTTGCCAGCACAAAGTTTCATCCTCGTCAGCGCTGTCATGCTAATTAGAACTGATCCGTTTGCTTCTTCCTTGTGGCACTGTGCCTTTCTGCTACCCTGCCAGTGAGGAAAGGAGTGAAAAAATCAGTGAAAAAATAATTCATATCCACGTCAAGACACCTGTTCTCTGCCAGACAGTTTTGCACTAGTGCAAGCTGGGCCTGTGCCCAAACTGCTGTGGGTGCTCCAGTCAGGAGCAGAACCCAACAGACAGACTTCAGAAACAGAATACTTCCAAATAATTCAACAGTCATGTTTTTGGTGTTGCTTCAGAGAATAAAACATAGAACCCAAACTACTTGATACTAAACCTAAACCTAGCTGCAGTGTGTTACAGTGTAAATACATCTCGCAGGGATCCTTCTGCTAACATCACTGCAAAGGCCATGAGCAGAACGTGAGCAGCTGCCTCAAAATGAGATGCCTGTCAGCAAACAGGAGGATGGAGACAAGCCTCCACGTGAGCCCATGTGATCAAAGCAGGTAATCCTTCAAACCCTCTCTGCAGAGATTTTATCCCAGTGGGGCAGTCAGGCCATGAGTCACTTGCCATGAGTGATGCTCCCACCAACTCCTCCCAGCAGCAGGAGGGTTTCAGGTGGAAAATTACAGGTGTGTTGTGGACCAAGGCTGTGAAACAGATCACCCTGCGTGCTTTGTTTCAGACGCTTCCTACAGGTGTTCATCTGAACGGTTCAAGCACAGCAAAACTGTAAGAACTGTGGAAGAGTTCTTAAAATGAGCACTACACCTTTGTGCTAACAGTTAGGCTCTCACAAATATCATTGCGATATGGCATATTTGCAGCTAAACTTCACTTTTATATTGTCCCTCTTTCTAACCCTGTGAAATGAGAAGCCAATGTCTCACCATTTGCAGGGGTGGTTTAGCATTGCTCCTTCTGGCTAGTGGCAGCACAGAAGAAAAGGTCTAAAGAGTACAATCAGCAGGAAGGTCAGTGTAGTTTCTGGTTTGCGTGGGTCCTCTCAGGGCATTGCACAATGTTAGCCTCCTTCAGGTGGATTCCCTCATCAAAGCTTGGCACTACTGCCTTGAATGTGGACTGTTGCACCACACCAGTATTCCTTCTTCCTCTTTCTGGAATATTCAGCTGTGTTTAAATCAAAACTTTGGACAGCAGAATGCAGACACCCTTGCATTCAAATGTCAAAAAGAAATAGCACATTTCATAATCCTAGCTAGAGACGTGGACATTAAGATTTAAATCCACCTCAGTAGGTGAGACATCACACTGTCTCCAAATGGTCTTCTACAAAGAGCACAGAAGACTGAATCTAGCCAAGAAAGGGGAAAGACAGGGTAATCCCTATTTCCTGCAGACCTTCTTCATCATTTTATTGATGAATTTTTTTATTGATTTATTTTTTTATTGATTGATTATTATCCTCTAACATGATCTGCCCCATCTTTTCATCTGTTGCATCCACACAATGAAACCACAAGCAGTGGTTGAACATTTCTGAGCACGGGACGCCTTCCACATCCAAATTGCCAAGGTTTGCTTATTGGTGCATTGCATTTTACACCAACTTTAATTTAGTTCAAGAACAGGCTCACAGCACTTGTTTCTGAACCAATTCACAGGGACATACCGCGTTCTGTCCTACCACTCTCCCCATCTGCCTCACCAAAGGGTATTTATAATTCCCTGGAGCTGGATTACCTTTCACAGAAGGCTGCAAGGTTCAGTCCATCAGGTGCTGGAATTCTGCAGGGCAGGAGCAGCACCGGGCTCCTCATGCCTTGTGGATGATGGCAGAGCTTCTTTTAGTTCTTAACCTTTTCCTTCGCGGCAGTAGGAAACCATGTCAGTGCAAGTGAACACGCTGCACCGGCACGAAGAACAAGCCCGGCTGCCAAGCTAATTGTGGAGACAGGAATGGGTGCTAGAAGGGTAGGACGGGAGGTGGGTGCCTTTTTTATTAGACTTGTCCTGATGCCCTAAATGGGCCAGAAGGAGTGAATGTATCCTCTCACATAAAGAGCCATTATGCAGGGATTTCATTTTTCTGATGGAAAAATCTTGACAATCATAAATAGGAGCGTTCGCATGACAGGGAAATTCTAGCTAGGCTTTTCAATGAATCTCCTGCAACAAATTCCAAATTCAACCAGCTTCTTCTATCTAAGCTCATGTGCACGCTGCAGGATTCGCATACTTCACCCCTCATTACCTATGGCCAGACTGAAATCAATGCAGCAAGAGGTGAAAAGGCTTAAGAACCAGCTCTTAGCAATAACCCTCACCACAGCCACAGGTAAAGAGGAAGACTGAAATGTATTTGGTTTCACTTAAACTGTGAGGGAAAGAAAAGGAAGAATGGCAGAGGAAGGAAGGAAAACAAAAGGAAAGAAGTAGAAATTTGTACGTAGAGGGGAGAGTCCCAACTATCTCCCATGTTAGACTGAAACAGAACGCACAAGAGAATTTGTGGAAGTTCTTAGAAGAAAGAGTCATATTATTGTCCTTGAAAATATTTTTTTTTTTTTTTTTTTTTTTAAGAAAGAAAATTTTCTTAAGAAAATTTTAAGAAAACAATTTTGTTTTCTTAGTGAGCAGCACTTGTCATTTTTATCTCCTCCATTCACCAAAAGAGAAGATTGTGGGGGTACCCAGCATATAGTAGGCCACTTCCTATACCTCATAATGCTCAGGCAAACATTCTCAGGCAGCCTGGAACGAAGGCATACTTGTGACTGAACAGTTTTGGACAACTCAGTACAAAAAAAAAAAGTCTTTATGAGATAAGGAGTCTCTAACTTCTTTGTTGAGGTATTGCAGGAAAAGGAGGGAATGGAAATCTGTTACCTGCAGACCACATTTGTGTTAGTCCTTCAAGGTTTCCCTTCTCCCTACCAAAATTCCCTGTTGGTTCATGATCACTTGAAAATCTAAGACCCACATTCTTTAATGAGCAGCAGGCAAGGGAGACTGGCCACTTCTGAAAGACCTATGACATTTCACATCATCAGATATGAGCCTGTTCTGGGAAATGGAATTTTTATACTCATCATATCCTTCCAATGCATCAACTCCATCCATCAATGGCAGCCTTCCAACGATCTGCTTAGCTTTATTGCCACACCAGCATCACGCCGGGTAGCAAATAACTAAAGTCTATTAGTAACAGAAAAATGCTATGCAAAAGCAAACTCAGCAGAGCTGCACCATGGATACTATGGCAAATTTCAGATGAGAAACAGATTTTTCTTTTTTCAGAACAGGCAACAGTGTTCCTCCAGCTTTCACCCATCACTCCCTGATGCTCTCCAGATTTGCAGCCAGAAGGAAGGGGAAGTAAGTTGTTTCTCTGCCTGAATGTTGACGTCTCATTATGAGCTCAAAAAGATACTTGCTCTGCATGCTCTGCTACTTCCTTCATTCAGGATTCTGTCCATTAACACCTAATTTTTGTCTTCTTCTTGCATTCTTTATCTCAGTTCCAAACTGTTGTCATTTCTAGGAATACCTTTCTGTATGCCATCACTAAGGGTTGAATGTTTTGTTTTAGTTAGCTGATTTTTGCTTATCTGCTTGCATTTTCCTCCTATTTTCTAGCTTGAAAACTTCAGCTTGCAATATGGCGAGCATTCCTCAGCTCCGACCCAAGGCAACAGAGCAGTTGTGAGAACACTCCCAAGAAATGACTTCATTTTCTCTCAACCAAAACATTTTCCCACACTTTCAAGCAAACCTAACCAAGATGGTTTGCAAAAGGGTCCTAATATCATCTCTGACAAAGGCAGTTCTACTGAACTTCCTTCTGAAATTTCATGCCTAAAGGCTGTCAGGGTAAGTTTCCACCAAAATTGTAGGCATTCCCAAAATACATCGTAGAACAAATTTTAATCTTTAATGAAAAGAAATAGACAGAAATATAGCATATAAGGAATGATGGACACAGACAAAGCTACCTTACAAGCCACAACACAGATCTGTGCCAGAAGGGAACAGAAAATGGCAGCAGTGGGAAGTGGAGATGGAAAGTTCACAATTGCATCCTACTCTGCAGGTTTTGCTTCTGCAAGATGCTGTCAGAATGCTCTACCTTCAGCCAGGTTGGTGAAGTCTCTGTCCTCAAACACTGGGATACAGCCAAAGCTGTCTATCTGCATAGCTCAGCTACCTTGAAACTCCCCTTGTCCTGCAGCTGACTTGTAACTTGGCTGTTGGTTCTCCATTACGGCTGCTGACTGCTGCAACTTGCTCTCTTGCCCAGACCTGGGGATTGGGCCGTCTATAGCACTGGTGCGCATGAAACAAAATGAGACTGCGTCAGAGATTTAATTTACTCTCTGCCTTCTTTGCTCCTGCAGGCGTCTCAGATTCCTTTGGTTTCCATTTCTCCCTTTGAGACACTGTTCCGAAATCTCACTCCTCTAGCAGCTCAAAATCTAATTTTCAGGCTAAGTGTATTAATAGCAACTTTGTACCAATTTGTCCTTGTGCCAGTATTGATCTTTATTATAAGACCTCTCCTTCCCCTCTAGTATTTACTTTGCAATGAAGTGTTTACAGAGAGACATCACATTCCTCTTCCAGTCTTTGTTTTGCTAAGCAAAACAAACTGATCTCTTCTAGTTTTCACTCATCTGCTGAGCTTTCTGGCCCTCACTCACCCTCTGAGCCCTGCTCTGCACCTGCCCCTATGTAAGCATACTTTACTGACAGAACCACACACAGTGTTCCCAGCACTCTTGAATCTTGGTTTCACACCTCCCTGTTTGTACCAGGACCCTGTTTGAAACCATCCCTGCAAACACATCGGCCCCTGTACTTATCCAATCATGTTCCTTCCAGTATCAAAGTTCCTCTGCTGCCTGGCTGCCTCCACAGCACCCAGCTCTTTTCCTGTTCTCACCCCTGCTAGCACCTAAGCCAGATGGCTCCTGTGTGGGCAAGGCTCCCAGCTGCTGCTTGCGCTTGATCCCAGCGTCTCTCTGTGCTCCTGCAGAGCTCCCACACCATGAACTAGTTGTACTGCTCTGCTCCCTGACTTCGAAGCCAGCGGATTCTCGCAGAAGATTCCCCCAGTTCCATTTCTCCTCGGCCTCGTTCCCCTGTTGGTAGGCTTTTCTGCTCACCACCAATTGCCTGCACCTTCTGCAGGTCAGCCAGGACCAGTGCCCCATCAGGGCCCCAAATCCAAGACCTCTGTCTGACTCAGAACTACGCAGCCTTTAACCAGACTCCAGAGCTCCAAGACGCAGACGCACCCCATCCCAAATGGCCACATTTATCCACTGAAGCTTCCTAGTTGCCTCAAGCAACAGGGACGTTCTTTTCTTAATGTGAACCACTTGTCCCCATGTGTCCCTACAAACGAATCGCCAGCTCCCTACTCAAGGGGAAAAAATCCTGCTGACTTCATTACATTGGGGTTTCCCTGCAGTTTCTGGCGCTGTAACCTGAGCTGGGATGTCTCTCTGATTGCAGCCTTTGGCCTGGTCTTTCCAAGGCTCGCTTCGAGCACAAACCCAGAGAGCAAAAATGACACACACAGAACAGGTTAGTAACAAGCAAAGGCATTCTCATACCTGCATAAAGTATCAATTTGAATGTAGCTAAATCCAGATCTTAGCTTAAGGAACAAAGAATTCCTCTGTTCTCCCAACCTTAATCTAGTTCTGCGAACTGATGCAAATGGGGACATCTTGTTGTCTTGTGGACATAAAAATCAGACGAGCACGCTCATGGGAACTTGCCCAGTACTATTTCAGTGGCACAGTTCCAGGAAATGCCCTCATAGCCTGCCCTCATGTGCTGCTCCCAGATCCTTGCAGTAATAACAGCCTTAAGGCTGCATAGCATAAACCAGCTCAGAAAATCTGCCTGTTCTATACTAACTCAGGAACTGCCACTCATCTTCTCATCTCTCCATCTGCAACAAAGCCGTCAGCCTTTTTATTTCTGACTTCTGGAGAGCCTAGAATTCCCTGTTAAGTATGGCTTTTTTTTTTTTCTTTTTTTCTTTTTTTTTTCCCCACTGTTACCAATAATAAAAATGAAAAAAAAAGTCTTTAAATTGGTGCAGTGTGGATGAACATGGCAGCTTGATCTTGCTATAGGCAGACTGGTTTGGGCAGCACATTGCTAACTGTCTCTTGCTTCTCTGCTGGAATACTTTATATCTTGTAACTATTGATGTCCGGATTGTACATGGACTGCCATGAAAAATCTGCATTGTCACTGCAATCCTCTGCCATGCCACAGCCCTCACAGAACTGCTCATCTACTGCGGATGCTACTCCCAAAGCAAATGTTTGCTTAAGACAAACGAGTAATCTGTCTCTACAGTATCAGTTTGTTTCAACTATACGGCATAACAACCTCACGGATTTCATTTGAGATTGATTTCACAGGTTTTCACCTGTGCTGTGAGCCACACTACAATTCAGTTTCCCAACCTGTAGCCCCCCACCATTGTCTGCAGTGATGACTGCATTAAGGCAACCAGAGAAACACTCCTCCACTTGAGCATCAGAAGCTCACCTGCTAGGCATCACTTCCAATGCAAAGTGTAACAGGGAAGGAAACTCTGAAGCTCCCCAGTTAACATATGCTATCACCCCTGCTCCAGCCTCCCTGTTTTACTGGAACACATCTGTACTGCTTGTTTGGGCAGCACCTCAGAAAAGAGAAAGAGGCATGACTATGTTTGCTATTTCCCCTGCGCAGGGAGAGCAGGGGGATGGCAGAGGCCCAGCAGCAAGCTCACACTGTCCTTTCCCTGTGTGAGAGGCAGGAAAGATGGCAGCTGCTTGAACAGCACGCTCCTGTGTGGGAGCCAGAGAAGAGCAGCTTGTGCAAAGAAGGAATTTTTAGGACTTTCACTATGGAGATTTGGGTTTGAGCCCTGATGAGAAAGCTAAGTACTCTGTAATCATGGTGCAAAGAAGCATAACAAACACTCACTACCTTCACAGGGACAGAGGCAACTAGTAAAAAAAAACAAAAAGCAAAACACCACCAAAGTATTCTGATGGGAAAAGCTTCTTTTAGGAAGACATTTGTTTGATTTTATAAAGAGCATTGATTTTGATATAAACGTTCCTGCCAAAGCTACTTGGAACAGCTTTGCTTCTGGCAGCTCAGAAGCTCTATTTCAGAACATCCAAATTGCACATATTTTATCCTGGAGGTTTTTATACCACATATATCATTACTGCCTTGCCCTAACATGACAGTAGCTGTGGAATATTTCATCTTCTTGTAGATGATTAGATGAATTGCATCATACTACAGAACAAAATGTTACCTGCTTTCTTAGATGAAGACGTTCCTGGGTGTCATAATGGCACTGCCAAGCTTTCATTACATAGCAAACAATGGACTTCCTGTTCTAGGGAATAAGATAAGATGTTTCAATCCTACTATGCAGCAGCTGATCAAAACAATGTTTTCCTACACAATACACATACTCTGACTATCAGTGCATACTTAGCAAATCAGCATAAGTTGTACAACAACTTTAAATGAATGTAATTCAAAATGAAAATTCAGAAATCACAGAGCAAAGCATTTCTAAAATCAAAATCTGGGATACAGCATTCGTCATGGGAAATCTAAAAAGTGAACTATTTAATTCTGGTTAAAGAAGGGGAAAATAAAGAACAAACAAGCTTTAACTGACAGAACTTCCCAGAAAGTGGAAGTTCTGAGTTAGGGCAACGCATATTAATTCTGAGAAGCCTGAGCCGAGCTTTTTTGTTAGGGACAAAGTCCGAGAGGATCAGGATGGAGGGAATTCTGCAAGAACCCACAGCAAGGATGCAGGAGGGTAGAGCCCAGCAGGATGTGAGCGCATCAGGGCTGAGCGCGGTTTTGGTGGAGGAGTAAGGCACTGCTGGGTCAGAAGAGCACAGAAAAGGGCCCTTCAGCCAGAACAGCAGCAGGTCAGTTCTTGAGCGAAGTGTCATGCTCCTGTGTACTACCAGCACTGGGACGCTTGAGGTGCCCACACGAGCTTCTTCAGCACTGCAATACCTCCGAGCTCCCTGAACGGGCACACCATCCGCAGCAGGATGGTGCCTCCCAGGCGCTCCTTGCTTTTCCACACTCTGCATGAGAAGAGGAGCTGCTAGCAGGATCCAGCTGTCGCGGACTGGGGCTGCAAGCAGTTACTGCTGCCATCAGGGTACCAGCAACAGCCAGATGCCTTCATCTTTAAACTTCCGTGTCCATGACTCAGGCCCTTTCATGCTCATAACCTATCCTGGCCTTCTCACCCTGGCCCTTCTTAGAAACAATGTTATTCAGCTGCTAAATTAAATAATACTTAACTAATATATTTATCCTGATTTTTAGAACTGACAAAGGCAATCTGTTCAAAGCAAACACTTCACTCACTATCTACTCCCTTTTTCTTTCTCACATAGGCAATGATGGATGGAAAAGCAAAAATAAATGAATAATTAACTGCCTTCACAATCTTGGCTTCAACACTGGTCAATAGAGCACGCAGCTGATCCTCCAAGTAAGACACATAATGTCTTTGCTGGGCTTATGGAACTTATCCATGGAGTTTACTGCACATTCAGGATCTGCATCACAAACGTGTGTGTCTGTGCGTCACTGAGGCGGAAAAGGTTATGATGCTGAACAAAGGGCTGCTGTCTGCTGACACAAATGAGACTAAAAACTCACTGATCTGGAAGCTGATGTACAAAAACTCCTTGCAGCCTGAGTGCCCCCTGTCCATACACATTAAATGAGTAAGTCTTGTTTGAGTGCAGGATAGCCTTAATCTGCAAACAAAACACATTATAGCAGTATGACTTTTACCTCAGCAAAGTCTATCAGCCACAAAATCAGATGAAAGGCATTGCAGGAGTAAAGTGCATTTTAAAGTGGGATTTTTCTGTCACAAGCTCATTCCAAATTATCTAGCATAAGGAACTTCACCCATGGAAGCCAACAGTGTTGGCACAAGGAGAGTTACACAAGACACTGGCGGGAGAAATGAGTACTGAAAGCTTAGAGAGAGATGGAACAACCTGTGAGAACAGCTTTTAGGCATTATGGCAATACAAACACGCTGTGCTTGGCTTGCAAAGGGTCAGAGGAGGGCTTGAAAGAAGCAGCAAGCTCAAAGTCAAAAGGGATGGTCAGAAGGTCATCCTCAGTGAATGGCAGTGGAAAAGGAGAAAAGTCTTGCCAGCTTTACAACCTCAAGTCCCTGGAAAGGCTCAAATCAATGAGGGGATCCTTGTTTCATGGAACACAAACACTGCATAGCACCACGTGGGTCAACTTCAGCCCAGCTGGAGCATGCAGGGCAACTTCACTGAGGTCAGACTTCAGCTGCCTACTCTGGATTATCAAAGCCCAACACAAACCTATGTGTATTTCAGAGCAACAGTGAGGATTTTTGCCATCAGAAGGCACTGGGCAACGCTGCTTTTGTAGCAGCTCAGGCTACTAGGTTCAGGACTCCACTGCAGCTGGCTCTTGATAGCACACTGTGCCCCACAGAGCCCATGCTGTAGCACATATACAAACACAGGAGACAAGCTAACTGTCAGGAAGAAAGCTGCACGTAGGCAGCTGAAACTACATCAGCAAGCACCAAGTGGAAATCCAAATCTTCCACTAAGAGTTGCTCAAGATAGCCCACTAAAAACCATTGGTCTCTCATACACTCACATTTAGCATTGCAACTGGTGTTTACAGAAACTCAGGCAAGCAGCATCTTTGTGCCACTGAGAGCAGTGCTGTGCTTCTGATGGAATGAGGCTGCTCAGAGTGCCATGCTCAGTTCACTGCTGCACCGTTGCTCACTGTGGGCCACCACAAACCATCCACATTGCAGAAGGGGTTCCATTCACCCTCTGACATGCACACATTAAGCAGAGATACTCAGTTTGCCTCCTGTACAAAGCCAGTACCTTATGGACATTCAGCTCTGCACCTGTGCACTTCATTTCAGACTAGCAAAGCAGGAACTTGGCAGCACAGGCCATCCCTCCTATAAGTCTCAGCTTTGTTTGACCACACTCTTTCTGAAGGATCTTGTCTTCTCTAGATGGACCACAAAGTGGTTTGGTATCCACTCCCTCCTCCTCCTCCATCACGCCCAGAATTTTTGCATGCCCAAGTCCTGCTGTATTTAGCAATGACTCTGCAAGTGATGCAAACTGAAAATTGCCCTCATACTACATCTCAAGGTCGAGGCTCCTCAAACCAAACCTTCTCAGGCCACATTCTCCCATCTTTTATTCAGGCAAAGAGAAAGGAATAGCAATAACTACTTCCAACTCTCAAGGCACTATCATCCTCCCAGCTGACAGCTGTAATGGTTATACTGTTTAAAAGAGGATAAGAAGCAGTGAAGTGAGAAACAAGTCCAGTGAGGTTGCCAGAAGTGTCATTAAGAACAGTTGAGCCCTTTCCCATGCCATTTGCATTGGTCCTGGATGTTTAGATGGTAGACTCTTCTTTTCCATACTGCAAATTCTTCACCACCCTGCAGTTCTAGCCTGGGGGATGAGAATCCATTTCCTGATGCTCCACACCATGGGCAGGATGATCTCAGAACACTGCAGCTGTCACAGAAGAAAGAATAAAGGCTGAGACTACTTAAACAAGCTGAAACCAGATCAGGTACCTAATGGTGGTGAGGTACTTTCCTCCCCAGGCATGAGATTGTTTGCATGCTTGTTCTAAGGCTTTATATCCTGTGGTAACTTTGCTCATGTAGCCACGTTTATGGTTGCAGTACTGCAACTGAAACTAGTTTCTTGTTGATGCCTATTCTCAACAAAACTGTAGGAGCATGCAAGACAAAGAAAAGTGACTTTTCAGGTTTGCTGAAAAAGGAAAAAATGTGAAAGGAAGAGATGAAGATAAAGATCCGTAGAGCTATGAAGCTGCTATTTAAAATTGCAGTTCTGATGTGAACCATGTACAGTAGACAAACCATGGAGGCCACATGTGGCAGCACTGAAGCAACAATGTATTTAATCCTCCTGCACTGCAAAAGCACCACTGGCTGTTGTGAACAGGATGCAGACCTAACTTCCTCAGCACTCTGCAGCAGGCTGGTTTGCCTGGGTCGTGCTCTCATCATGCTCAGAGATGCACTTGTGGAAAATCTAGCAATGGTAACTTTGACTTACTCCCACATCCTTTGGTTTTGCACGAGCATCACCGAAAATAAGCACAACAAACCTGATTGATCATGCTGTAGCACAGTGCTGTTAGCTCATTCTCTGGGTATGATTGAGGTGAATACCACAGGACAGTTGCAGAGCTTTCTACAGTAACCGACTGCCTCGCTTCCATGATGTGAGGCACTCTTAAAATATTCCGAGAGAGTAAAGTGATATTTATCCCAAGCACTGCAGCAGGAGGCAGAGTAAGCAATAATGTGCCAAAGGTCACACAGCAGGGATCCCAATCCAGGTCTGGCAAATCCCAACACAGGCCCAAACCAGTTGCAAGTTTCTGTGGTGTTACACTTCACAACGGGAGCAGAGCAGAACAGCTGGTTTGACTCTGACCAGGAAACAGACACAATAGAACACAAGCAACACCTGTTTTTGGGCAGAGCTGGGATTACTGGAGCCATGCTCACGAGCAGGAAGAGATGCCACCAGGTTCCTCTGCATTTGCCCTTCCAACTCGTCTATATCCCACACTGAAATCTTCCAGCACATGGATTTCTCCTTCTTCAGGTGTTAGAGAAAGCAATTTAAAGCAATTTAAAGCAAAGAAACGATCCCTTAAATACAGCTGATTTTGCAAGTGTTTCAGTACATTTGCACACAGCATTTTACCCAAAGGTCTGAGCGCAGGTCCAGCCCTGGAGCTGTGTGCACAGAGCACACAGGTCAGTGTGATCTCACCACTCGCTACCAGCATGCTCCTCATCCTGTTACATTCTTCTCCATTCTTTCTACCTTGAGCCTAACACGATCCATACACACTGTCTCCAGAAGGGATCAAAAACCCAAACCGAAGTGAACAAGCAATCTCGCAAACTGTTTACACAATTTATTCTGCCTTCAGAAGGTTGGTCCACCAGACTCACCATGGGTGAGACCAGACTGACAAGTGGCAAACACCACACAGATCAGCATCCTGCAAGGCACCACCTCCTTCTCACAGGCACAAAGACTGGAGAAGCACTCCAGTCTTTGGTGCAAATGCTGGGAACAGTTAGGTGCAGGCTCTGAACCCTGGGCTTGTCATCCTAAGCCCAAACACAAAGAAGCAACTGCAAGGCAAGAGAGAGCTGGTTACAGGCCTGATTCTGCAACTACTGCATGCTGTTAGAACATCCTTGATGTTACAGTAGCTTATGCAACCTGTCCCAAATCTCAGCAACTGAATGACAAGTATGATTTGGCTATGAACCCAGTGCAAAGGGATAGTACTATGTAAATAACCTGCTGTACTCACCAGGCACTGTACAAATCATGCTGAGCCTTGTGAGCAGCTGCCAGGCAAAAGCAGCAGAGAAAGGCTGTGAGATGACCCTCCACAGGGAAGGGGAACATCTGAAAGCCCACATGCTTAACTAAAAGCACATTAAAACATCTGTGGAAGAGACAATCGGCTGAAGAAACTTGATAAAGTCTCTCTTGGTATCTCATAATCATCTTAATTGTGAGAGAGAAGACTTCTCCTGCTGGGCGTTTGTCCCTCTGGATGCAACCCTCAGCAGAAGAAAACAAGTTTCTAAACAAAAACTTTAAATACAGCTTTTGAAAACTTGCCCAGACAAACAAAACATTAATGCAAGTTTTGGCCTGGTCTCCACTGCCTGGGAAATAACTTCTCCCCACAATAACAGAGGCTGTAGCAGCTCTATTATTTCAATCACCACAAGCACAAGCATCTCCTTTCAGCATGTTCTATCTCCCTTTCCGGCAGGGAAGGAAGGGCATGCAAGAGATCCACAAAAACACCATGTTGGTGTTTCCTCAGAAATAAGGACTGTAAGGGAACAGGCTAATACAGGGAAGCTGCTCTGAGGAAAGAGCAAAGCCTCAGGACAAGAATAGTATCCAGCTTCAATGAAAGCAAGGACAAATAGGTACTAAGGTACTTTCCTGCTGTAAAAACAATGAAGCTTCAAAACAGACCATGTTCAAAAATCTCAATCATCACTGAAGCCTTTTAGGTCAGATTAGGCAAACATGAATGATGTAAGCCAAGTTGGTCCTTACTTGGACAGGGAAATTATGCTAGATGACTGTTGAGCTCTCTTACAATCCATTGTACTCTATAGCCCTGCATCACAGAACTGGCTGCTGGCAGTACCCCCACACATTCAGTCATCTGGCTCCCCAGAGGCTTCCTGTGCCACCTTGGCTGAGTCCCCTCTGCATTTGCCAGCTCTGCACCTGGAAAAGGGTCTCATCCCTACTGCACATGTCTTAGACCCTCTGAGGATCTTAGGAAGTCCCTTCCATCCCACACTCTGAGTAGAACAGGAAAACAGGGGTGGCGCTTGCATTTCAGGATGTATACTTGTAAGTTACACCAGAGCAAAGACAGATTGCCGAAAGCCATGGATCAGTGCAGCCCTGCAGGGGGATTCAGGCCTCTCATTACCAGCGCAGCTACAATTCCAGTCCTGTATCGCAGCCACGAGGACCCCCCCAGCCTCCCTACATTAGGCCTGTACTGCAGCACAGGAATGGAGCTAAAGCCCCACTTTGCAACCATATCCACCGAGTCCTCCATGGAGCGGGGGGCTGCACCCTGCCACACTGCCAGCACGCAGATAGCCTGCTCCCCACAGGCACAACAGGCTGGGAATACAGCACCATCTGCAGGGCTCTGCCATGCACCAAGCTTTGCCTATCCCCAACTCGGAAGGCCAGCAAGGTCCTGGTAGGCACTTTGTACCAGGTCGCTCTCCAGAAATACACACCTGAACCACACTCATCAAGGTCCTGCAGGAAAACAAGGCCTTTCTGAAAGCATCACTTCAGAAACAAACTGCTGTTTCAATACAGTTCCGAAGACCCACTGAGATGCCAGAAAATTAAATGCATTTTGACAGTGATTATGTAAAGCATCAGCCCTTCTGTGGCTCAAGGGAGCAGCTGCACGGCTGCAGAGAGCTGACGTGCACAGGAGATTGCTGGCATCAGCACAGCCTCGTGCTTACAGGCACAGGCAGCAGACACAGTCAGTGCTTTAGCGAGGGCTCTGGGAGTATCTGAGGTTCTTGCAGCTTCCACATCCAAAGAGCTTCGCAGTGCTTCTGTACCAAAAGGAGCCTGGGCCAATGTGTGCAAAGCAGTGACGAACACATTGTACTACAGCAGCACATTCCCTCAGATGCGGGTCTGACAAATCCCGCCTCTTGGGAGGAAGGATAATTTTTCTTCATACTTGTCTATACGAGAAGGTCAGCAGCATCGTGTGATTTTCCAGAGACATGTAACCACTATGCAGTGCAAGCCTTGAGAAATGCAAGCATTTTTGTTATTGCTTTTGCTATAAATATAGGAATTTAACACTTATCCTACTGGATTAGACCAAGAGTCCATCTCTCAGAGGAAGCCTACTGCTGAGAGCTCCAACAAGTGCTTGCTCTGCAAAAGGCGGCTGCATCCTGCAGCTCAGCCAGCAGTGCTCTCAGAGGGGCAGCTGCCTCCACTACCTACTAGTTTGGCAGCTACCTACTGCTGGAGCCAGCCTTCCCTACAAAAAAGCAACATGATGCTCTTTAACTCCCCCATATCATAGAATCATGGAATGGCCTGGGTTGAAAAGGATCACAATGCTTATCCCGTTCCAACCCCTGCTACATGCAGGGTGGCCAACCACCAGACCAGGCTGCCCAGGGCCACATCCAGCTTGGCCATGAATGCCTCCAGGAACGAGGTAGCGTATCACCCAGCTTCTAAAGCAACCTGCAGATGTACACTGTGCTTGTTAGCTCTGTTTCATAAATACTGTCAACACTCATACAAAACATTTCAGAAATCAAATTTAAAGACCTAAGCCAGACAAACTTAGCTAAACACGCTAACATTGTTATTATTTACTAAAAACAAACAAACCACCACAGTATCTCTCTGACCGCAATCTGCTCTCACCACTGCCAGAATCAGCTGGGTTGATACTTGATTTCCAAACCTAGGATTAAGTGCATTCTAACTGAACCTTTTTTGTCCCTTTCCACCCATTTCCTCTGCTGTGATAAACCACAGCAGGTAGCACAGTCCAATGAGGGCTCATAATTTCATGTACAAAGTTTATAGGATGGGAAAACTCCTGAGGCAAGCAGAGTGGTGGGATGGGATGAAAGGCCGGTGTATGAGCAGAACTGAAAGAACAAAGAGGGTGAGGAGGGGATTGAAGTGCAGTGAGCTGGGCACTGGTGAATCCTAAGTTCAGATACCTGCAAAAAAAAACAGGGCCAAAGCTTAAATATTAAGAAGTGAATGAGTACAGCACAGGCAGGGGGAAAAGGACTAAATGTATTAGCTCTCTGAAGCTGCTTTGGCCCTCCAAACAAATGCCCAACTTGCTGATGCAGGACCCGTCGTTTCTGACGACGCAGTTTAAGTTCAGCATGGACAGACTGCCTGCCTGCACACTCACAGCACAGGTCACTGCCTTCTTCTTTCTCCCTTCCATGCTCACCTCCCGTGGCCCAGCAAATGTTTTCATTTGGAGTGATCCAGATCCTTTGGTGTCCTTCTCTCTTTCCTTCACTGGCTAGCTATGATCAAGAAGAGAACCTCAGAAACAGTAGTGAGCAGCAGCAGCTTGGATTTAATCCTACTGGTACATATGTCGTGTTCTTGACCGTCAATTTCAGGACTTTTCTCAGTGTTGTTTCATACAACTCTACTCTAAGTCGCCCTCCCCAACAAAGAAATGGACTTCAGCTATTCCTGCGGGTGCCAAGAGACTGGGTCTTTCTTCAAACTTAGCCTGCTGTCAAATTTTGTACAACTACTCTTTTTCCCTCACCTTTTCAACTTCTCCATCTCAGAAACTGGAGCAGTCATTCTGGCCTTTTTGTAAAGTCTCACATTTCAAAGCCTTACCTGGAAGTTAAGCATTAGTATTACTATCAGAAACAATTTAAGGATCCCAGATATTTATTCAGATCTGCTAGCATGTTTGAAAACTCAATTGCAAAGCATTTCTTACAAGACTCAATTTAACCTACAGGCAACACTACCTTTATTACTATGGTTTTACTGTTTCTGGCAGCATCCACAAAGTGTCAGGTGCTGTAGATTCAGATAATTTTAACCAACACCAAGAACTCCTTCCTCTTGAGTGACCCTTTACAGCCTCAAATATGGAGTGAAAGCATGTCAGGGAGAGGTGCTTTTCCAGTTGTGGTCCTTAACTGTCTATATAAAAGGCTCTCCCTTCTAGTCCAAACGAGTATATTCCAAAGGAAAGGGCTACCTTATCCACAGATTGTTGTCTATTCTCTTCACAAATCCATCTCAACCCACGTATGACCAAAATCACTTTATCTGAGCTTCAGAACTCTGTCTGTCCTAAGCAATCATGGTGTAACGTGCAGCGATGTTTCAATGACATTCAGCAGGACTAGGAAACAAAGGCTGCTTTGCTTTTGGTGAGCTACAGCAAAGCATCAGGGTCCTAAAAAGAAACCTGAATTTGAAGTGTGCAAGTTAGTCATGTCCCATTATAACTGCACACTCGTGAGCTACTATAAGCTGGAGTTGAGACCATTGTCATCCAGCTTGGTCATGTTCTAAAATTTATCTCAAGGTTGAAAAAAAAGAAAAAAAAGGTGATGTTCTTCCTAGGCAAAATGAGTGATACGACATGTTGACAAGCTGTATTTTTAACATATTTCTTTGAAATTTGCTATCACAGCAAGGAAATATCTGGAGCTGCGAACTCTTCTATATTTGGTCCTGAGATTAACGAGTCACTTGAGCGGAGTGAACTAGAGTTTCATGAGGTTCCCTGAGGAAGGTCAAACACTTCCAAACACTCCTGCGATCCTCTGCAACTCTAGATGAAGTCTGTGCTGGGAAATGAGGAGTCTGTCACTGCATGGAAAAGTCATACACTGGAAAATGGAGATTTCTTTTGTCACACAGCTTTCATGAAGCCATTCAAGAAGGGCTCACCAGCGAAAAAGCTTACTGCAAGAAAGGATGTTGTTCCTGGTACAGTTGTCATCTGCTCTGCTTTTGGATGTGCAGAAACCTGGGTCTGTGGGAGAAAAATGAGCAGAGCTTTAAGTCTTGCTGGGGTGAACATGGTTCTACCTCCATCATATAAAGGTAGCAACTTTCCAATGGCAGTAATCTCAAAAGAGCTAGTCACCCCATCAGAAATGCTTACTGTGACAGAAACTCTGACTCAGAAATGCTTGCCAGATTATCTCATGATGTAAGAAAGTTCAGACAGTTGAAAAGAGTCCCTGATTTTTTAAAGGTTGGCTTCAGCTGCTGACTTTCTCTTGCTGAGTTTCATTCAGTATATCAGGATGCAGGGATCTAATCTCTGCGAGACACAGTCATATACTTGAAGCAAAAATCTGAATGTAAAATAGACTTACTTGCCACAGAAATCCTTGTGAACAGCACGAAGGGCGAGGAGCAAGTCGGGATGTGCACATAGCCAATCCTCCACCAAATCAGGGTGCCTGGGATCAACTTCCAGAAACACACTCCTGAAAAGATGTGGGGAGATGCACATAACTAGATTGCTAGGCTGAGAAAAACTAAAATCTTCCTTTACGGAACACTGCAAACCAATGATCTTAAAACAGACTGCAGCTATCTGTTTAAGACACAGATGCCAACTGCTTCCTTCAGAGGGAGAAAGTGTTGATCTAAAGGAGAACTTTCATGGTACTCCTCTTTGAGAGCAGTTATGTCCTGGTACTGAGATGTGAGGACCTGTTCTCAACCCCGTGTAGGAATATCACCAGCTTTGTCTTTCTGATGCCCAAAATGGAGCAGGCTGTTCTATGATGCAAATGCACGAACACTGAATGCTGGACTGGTAACGTGGAGTTCCTTTGTATAAGCACAGTGACATTAAGTCCCAGTAGTGAGAGTCAAAGTACAAGTCAGTACACACATTTTACAGCAATAATCATCTCCACAGATGAGTTATGAAACCACCACCAGGTTTCAGGTCATACAGTCTTACACATGACTATGCAAAGGAGAGTGCAACAGGGAAAAGGGACCTAGTCAGACACCTTCAGACAAAGCACCAGGACACAGCTTGTCGCAAAGGACCTTTTCCATTTTGGCTGCAGTCAGGCTTTGTGACATGGGCCCATTTCTGAAACTCTCCTCCCACAATGAGGTGGAACCACCCTAGCTTACAGGCATGTGGAAATGGACTGCAGCCTTTGACAGTTTATCAAGATACAAGTTAAACAGGCAAAGCACAGAGGCCAAGCCCCAACCCTACACTCTCTTGAGAATTCCTGAGCAGTCCCACACTGAACACTCCCACCAAACTAATTACAAGCTGGGTGTGGTTCTCGTTATTGACCTTAAAAGACTCCCACCCTGCAATGGGGGCTCCACCTTATAAAACAAACACGAAAGGGACTAGGAAAAATGTCTTAACAGCCATCCCCATGGGCTGATGTCTCCTGCTGGGAAGCCCTGGGGAACAACTTCTGCTCTTGTGGCCGAGCAAAAAATAAGGAACTTATTCTTTCCATTGTGCTTCTCAGTACTCCTATTCCTCTTCCTAAAACAAGATTTTCAACGGTCTCTCTAATGCTATTAAGGCGAGGAATTTTCAACAGGATATGAGAACGCCAGGGCACAAAAGACATTTGGGTATCAGCACGCTGATTTTCAAGCATGAAATGGATCCCCCATGACAGCAAATAGAAACCAATCAGCCTCAAGCATCCCTCATGCAGAAATCTAACGTTTAAGAAATGAACCCTGGCTGATTACCATTATTCTCCCAGGATATCCAGCCCTGACTCCTGGCACAACACACAAGCTTCCCCTAATTAAAGAATGAAACAGATCTACATCCATTCTCACAGAGCAGTGCGTTGTTTTTCCCTCAACAGCTTTTCTGCTTGGAAAGCTTTTTTTCGCGCTTCCTCTCCCTCCATTTTCTCTCTCACCTTTCGTTGCTGCTTTGAGCTTTAAAGATCCTCATTTTGTTAATGATTATGAAACACCAGCACTGGTCAAAGAAGGTCCATATCCCCATATGAACAAATTTCAGACTGATTTTGCTAATACACATTTTTTTTTTTTTTTTTTTAGTAAACAAACAAAAATACACTACTATTACTAGATGGGCGTTTTTGCAGTTATTTTCCTTTTACATCCTGCATAAAACAACAACAGTAGTTACAGATATGGAGAGAAGATGTGAAATTCAAAAGGAGAATCATGCTCACCCAGAATCCTTCAGAAGAGAAGGAGCCAGAGTCAGAATTATTTTAATGACTCTCATCCCGTCATCTCCCCCATCCAGTGCATCAAGGTCCTCATAGCTAGAGGTTGGAAATAAGGCATTAATAGCAATTCATACGGCATGAGCCATGCCCTTGAGCATGCACTGCCCTGCTCCACAGGCAAAGGTGCAACTAATAAACTCCAGCCCAGTTACAGCAGGTGAGAGCATTCATTGCTTTTATGAGAAATACAGGGAGTAAGAAGGCTGAGAAACCCCAAACTGAGCACAAGCAGAAAACATTCCTTGGGCTCCATCAAAAGAGGGGTGGCCAGCAGGGACAGGGAGGCGATTGCTCCCCTCTGCTCTGCTCTTGTGAGGCCCCATCTGGAATACTGCGTCCAAGTGTGGAGCCCCCAGTACAAAAAAGGCAGGGAGCTGTTGGAGAGGGTCCAGAGGAGAGCCACAAAGATGATCAGGGGACTGGAGCACCTCCCATATGAGGACAGGCTGAGGGAGCGGGGTTTGTTCAGCCTGGAGAAGAGAAGGCTGTGGGGCGACTTCATTGCAGCCTTTCAGCATCTAAAGGGAGCCTACAAACAGGAGGGGAATCGACTCTTTGAAAGGGTAGATAACTGCAGGACAAGGGGAAATGGTTTGAAGTTGAGGGAGGAAAGATTTGGGTTGGATGTCAGGGGGAAGTTCTTTACAGAGAGTGGTGAGGTGCTGGAACAGCTGCCCAGAGAGGCTGTGGATGCCCCGTCCATCCCTGGAGGTGTTCAAGGCCAGGCTGGATGGGGCCCTGGGCAGCCTGGGCTGCTATGAAATGTGGAGGTTGGTGGCCCTGCCTGTGGCAGGGGGTTGGAGATTCGTGATTCTTGAGGTCCCTTCCAACCCAAGACATTCTGTGATTCTGTGACTTTTTCTTAAGACTTTGAGTCACTTGCATCCAGGATGTGCTAGCTAGACAGGGAAAGAGTGGGTTGTACAGCAAAAGAGCATTTGTGTTATTTCAACTATGCCAATAACCACAATCTAGCAGAGCAAATTCAGATGCAGAAAATTCAGCCACTTTCAAGGACAGAATCTGCTACCCTACACATTTAGCTTAGGGGTGAATATGGGACTCTGCCCTGACATGCATGACAATTGCTTCTGAGGAAGGCCAGCACAGACAAAACAGTGCCACAACCCAAAAGTGCTTCTTCGTGTGAGTTTGTTTGCTTAAGGCAAGTCTTGTGATTAAAATGGGTGACAGTATTTCCACCTAAATTTCTTTCATCACAAGAAGCTGCTCTGATTAATTATTCTTACTTTCATACACTCAAACCAATTGTGAAAAAAAATCTGACATGAAAAATGTTCTGGAACAGTTTTGGATTGGAAATTTAGCAATGACAAAGTGTGCGCTTCTTCCATTTTTATTAACACTTAAAGTTGTTTCAGACTTGCAAGCAGTACCAAAGTAATGCTATACTATTGAATACCATATATGAACACACCTACAATTATGCATGCTTACTACATTTCCCCATTCTGTGTGCAAGTGAGCGTGTAATATAAGAAAGCAGCCAGAAAGCTTTGCTTCAAGGAATAGGAGATGGAAAATCTTTGTGTCTGATTACCAGAGGATCTCTGCATCCAGGGAAGCCATGTCTTCATGGAAGACATATGGAGGGTTACTGACTATGAAGTCCATTGGGCCCCAAGGTAGCAGATGTTTGGCAGAACCTAAAAAAGAATCACAACCAGCTCTCAATCATAGCAATGTTCCCTCTAAGCTCAATATCAAAATCCTATCCAGAAAACTATCTCTCCAGGTACATGCAGATGTGTGTATGGTTCTGTTTCTCTCTCATAGAATTTCACCCCATTTCTTTTGGGGATAGCTGGGCCTGGTTACCCTCCCACCCTGTATGCAAGATGACATGAAGATGAGCACAGGCAAAGTATCTTTTTTTTTGGGACCAACAGCCCTGCTTAGAAGAATATCTATCTTAGAAATTCTAACACAGGACCTCGATGTCCTGGAGAGCTCAGAGCCCAACTGGATCTAAAGCAACTACTGGAACCTGACACATTACACAGACCTAACTAAGAGAGTTACAACTAGCTGTCAGGATGTACATCTTTCCTCTTACCAGAGCTGATGAAGGTATTCCAACAGGCAGAAGAGCTACATCCTCAGCAGTACCAACCAACTAAAGACCTGCTTTTCTGCCAACAAGTTCAGCTTGCTACACTCATGTTCCTATCTGGACTGACATGCACCAGCCCTGACCCAGACACCATGCAATTCCACAAACATGGCACAGCCCTCAGGCCTGCCTCTCAGCACAAGGCTTACCCACACAGGCTTCTGGACTGCACTGGTTTGCTTACTGATGGAACACAGCCAGAATGAGCTCAGATTTGCAGACATACCTCTAAGCAGTAATAGAGGGTCAAAATGAACGGTGTGAAAGGAAATGCATAAATGAATCTGCAACACTGGAGCTCCTGGCTCCTCCACACCTCTTGGTCTAGCACAGCCTAGCAGACAACTACCAAACCGGATAAACCAGGACAGTAAAAAAGGAAGAAATATAAAGGGGATTAAGACAATGAAAAGACTTACCATATGAAACATTATGGTGGAGGATGTGGATCCTGTCTTGGAGTTGCAGCCTATAGAGAAAAGTTCAGATGTAAGGGCAAAAAGATTAGTAGTCTTGTCTGTGTGGGCTCATGAACAACACATTCAATAAACAGGCCATTAACTATCATTCTTCTTATCTGATACACGTATGTACTATCTCACTGACTGTCATTGGATTTTCCCAAGCTGCAAGGAAAGTTTAGGAAGTGCTCTTTGTCTGAAGCAGAAAGCACCCATGATGATTCCAGCGCAGAGCTCCCATGCATCCAAAATACACCTATACATCACAGCAGCATTCTCCCTCAGATACGTATTAATTATATCTAAAGGCCTCCCCCAGGTGAGCTCAGAAGCAGAGAAAAACAAAATTAAGTGCATCAAATACGTAAATCTGACATGGTAAGCGAAGACAACTTGCTCATGTTTGCCACATTCTTTCCCCAGCCTCTTTGCTGATTTGGATCTTAGCAGCGTTCTGGCATCTGAGTGTATTTTTTAGGCACATGAGTGCATGAAGGTGATGAGACTGCACTGCACAGTAGCAGGAAGCCAGCACACGCAGTGCAGCACAGCTCCTGTGGCAGACATAGACCAGGAAGAGAGACTCCTATAGGAACGGCTCATGCACAGACCGTTCAGTGCAATGCTTTTAAAATAGGCTGGGTTTCTCAGGCGCTACTTTCTAACTCATGATCTTTCTCATCCCTGACATGCCTGTGCACATTAATTGGGAGATATGTTTTGCTCAGCACCTTTCATCTGCAACCAGACCTCCCCAGGGTGCTCACACTGGCAGAATCCCTGAATGTACTGGAGACACAAACAACTCTCCCTTCACCTGTGACAAGGCAGCACGTAGGCAGGGAGGTTTGTTATTTTTAAGAAACAGGTCTATAAACACCTCACTGTTTCTTTGGAAGAAATCTTGGTTGAGATTCTGATCTCTCTGATTTACTGACTCACTCCAAAGCAGAACAGCCTCAAGTTTGCCAGATTGCCTTTGCATGGTTCTCCAGTCTGCCTCAGCCTGGCACAATCCATCTCTAGCTCCCAGCTTGCAACAGAATATGATCCTTGCCAGAGACAGATCCCCTTAAACCATGGGTGTCCAACATATTGGCTTGCCTGGGCCACACCAAGTAAACAGGAATTGTCTCAGGCACCATATGTGTAGGTTACTCCAGAAGTAATGCCTCCTATTTATTTCCATGGAAACTGCAACAGATAAAACAAGCACAGTATCAATACTTAATGGACCAAATTCTTAGCTACAAAAACCTATTTTTCAGCATAATCACCACTGTTAGCTCTGTATTTTTGTCAGCAGTTAACACGTGCTTGCATGCCATACTAGTAAAAACCTGCACCAGTGGAGGTTTTTACCACTGATGCTGTTGCCACTGCAGAAACACATCACCCACTGCCTCACTGCACGCACATCCACTCTTTGGATTGTGCCAATGTTCAGCAAGTGTCAGTGAATGTCAGTGGGTGCCATTTTTTCCCACGTGGAGGAATTCAATGACCCACCTTTACTTCACACACACTTTCATGCCACTATGCAATTTTGTCAGACTGTCCCACTGCTGCTGCACAGCAATAAAACGTAATGGAATATAGGTGGGAAGGTCCAGTTCTACTGCCATGCCACCAAGATCCACCTCTGATGTTGCAGGCCAACATAATAAAACAGGAGGCATTCCTTTCAGAGCAGCTCCCATTAAAATATATAATATAGCTGACAAGCAACAAAACTTGTTTTAATTTTCAATAGTTTTTTAATTAAAACATTTAAAAAGGAAACAACAAAACCATGAAACTAGTGGGACGTTTGACCTTGTTTGTGAAACTAACAGAACAGTCTGATTCCATGGTAGCACTTGCAATTCTTAGGTGTTTGTCTGAGATTTTTGATAAAATTTTATTTTTCCAGTGCTTCATCCATGAAAACACTTCACAAATGTACGTACTGCCGAAAAGTGATGACATTAATAAGGTGTGACTGTGAAGTGAGGGATATTTCTCTCTGCTGAGATAGGAATTATGAAAGTCCAGTAGAAAGACATGATCAGATTTGTGTTGAATATCTGATTGCAACTCTACACAGCCATTGGAAAATTCGCAGGCAATGCATTTATGTTGACTGAAAATAGTCATAAATATACAAAAAAAACCCCAAAAAGTCAACACTTTTTTGCAACCCTGAAACCTGTTCTCAAATTCCTTGATCACAGCAGAAAGCACAGCTGCCTATTTTTCACTGTTCACAGGCCTGTATGTAGCCAATACATCAGAATGCACATATTTGCCATCCCTTCAGTCAGCCCTGCGCTGCGTTCCATGCCCCGCTTTCAGCCCAGACAGGGTCAGCAGCACACCCATGTTTGGTTGTTAAGTGAGGCTGTGCACCAGGCTGAGCTGCTCAGCTGATGGCTGTAGTTTGAGCTGTGCTGTCCACATGCAGCCCATGGGCTGGACATGCCTGCCTTAAAGCCTTGAAGATACCTTGACACTCCTGGAACAGTAAAGAGATGCCAGTTTGAAAACTGCCTTGGTGCTTATTCACAGCCTGATTGCAAGAGAGACTAAAGAAGCAGAAAGAGTGAGGCAGCAAAGAAGGAACATAACCTCTAATTCCTCAGCTATGCAATCTGCCCATCAAAATACCTCTCTTCTCATGAGTTCTGCCTCTGGCTTCTGAGAAGACGTTTGAACAATGACAGAGAATTTGCCAAGCTAGAGAGACAATGTTGGGCAAGAAGTGCTGGTGGAGAACAACTCCACCCTCAGGGGATGCCATTCCCTGACTGGCAAAAGCAGATGGTTGCAGATAGAGTTTGCCCTGTTACAGCCAATGTCTAGAGAATCCTCTGACAAAACTAGAGCTCTTTCCAATATGCTGTCTCTTCCTGGGAGAGACCCACCACGGTGTCAGATTTTTCCTTCCAACTCTTCAGCGTAACATCCTGGGGCTACCCAAGCAAGTTTCAGAGAGCATGCTGCAACAAAGCCATTATACCCAAGTCCTGTTTGCTGAGGGCCTTTGGTACTGCCTCATCAACTACAGCAGCATCAAGAAATAAAAGGATTTCTGCATCTACCCACAGCGTACACAGCTGGGTAATCTGGTACTGGCATTGATTCACTGCAACCAAGACTTCACTAAGCGTTCCTCCCTAAATAACACAGCTGTGGTAAAAAGGCAGAAACCAAGCTGGCTTCAGCAGTAATACAGCTTATCCTACTGGCTACTCTTGCAAGATGTGCAGGGCACCACACCACGGACAAGAGAAACATTTGCTTAATGAAAATATCTATTGAGAAACACGAGTTTCTCTGGCAATGCATTTACCCTCCCCATAGCCATCCTTGAGCCAAGGATACTATGACACATTTTCCCATATGCCAGAACAACACTCTACAAAGGAGGCAAAGATCTGGCCTGTTTTTATTATGATCTCTGTAAAACTGCAAGAGAACTTGGTTTGATACTCATATATCAGAAGGATGTGCTGGCCACTCCCCATAACTGGAGTGCCCCCATAGGAGGCACAGTTTAGTAGAGAGGTGAAAGTGTGGGAAGAGTTTGTTTCTACCATCACCTCAGAATGGTGAAAGATCTGCAGCTGGATTGCAAAAAGTGGACAGATACAGCTCAGGACAGCTAGAAACAGAAGCAGCCTGCCTCTGTAACCAGTATGCCAGCAGCAGCTTTGGAAGAAAGAATACATGGGCCTCACGGACAGTAACATCAGCTAATGAGTATCACTTTTAAGACTCATAGCTGTACCAGACTCCAAAAAAGGTAGCAACAGGAAATCCTCCTAAGGCTGCTCAAATTCATGCTCAGAGGTTTCTGAGAATACAAGTGCATAGTAGAGCTCTGTACGTTTTACAGTCTCTAAGAGGACTCAAAAAGGACACAGATTCTAGTCGTGGTGCTCACCAAGATGGTGACAACCCAGAACAGCCTGCATTAAGCAGAACATAGAACCATGACACTGAGCAATGATCTGTTGGGGAGGACAAGGTTATCCTGAGATAATGCTGTTCTGCATTAGGTACAATCTGTTCAGCAGGTCTCAGCACCCAGGCACAGCACAGGTGTGTGTGCACAGCAGCACCCTTCTCATCAAATCCAAGGCTACAAGGAGGGCACTGAGGGATACCGTGACAACAGAGTGAAGAGTGCAAACTTATAACCAGAGGAGTAGTGACAGGAACAAGCATGGCAGAATTTTAGGTAGGAAGCCAAAGAGAGAAAGGTTCATACTATACCTGTCCTTAACCTCTCAAGTGACAGAGACGTTCTTACCTCTTGGTGATTAAAGTTTACCATAGAAAAGAACAATAGTGACCAATAGTGACCACGAAATGCTTTGAAAACTCTTGGAAGACAGCATTTAAGTACCACTGACTTATTTAGGCTGCTGCCTTTGCAAAGTGCATTCACAACTGAAAGGAAAAAAATCCTCTGGTAAATATAAACTTTCTTTTTCTTGAATTGTTACACTCTTTGGGAGCTCAAATGATTAAAAATACTCTAGTTTCCCATGGTGATAAACATGAAACACAGTTCAAAATATTAGGGACTCCTGATCATTTTACCCAGAGGGTGGTGAGGCACTGGAACAGGCTGCCCAAGGAGGCTGTGGATGCCCCATCCCTGGAGGCATTCAAGGCCAGGCTGGATGTGGCTCTGGGCAGCCTGGTCTGCTGGTTGGTGACCTGCACACAGTGGGGGGGTTGAAATTGTGGTTTTTTTCAACCCACGCCATTCCATGATTCCCAAGTAACAGTTTACAAGAAATAGATAATATGCAAGCTTGTACCTATGTACATTCTCCCTGGTGAGATCCACAGCAGCCTCTTCTTTATCCACAGCTATCACTCGGCTCTGAGACAGAAAAAACAAACAACAGCATTACAACACCACAGCTCCTGAGCAGACAAGCTCTGCCAGAAGAGACACACAAGATAAAACCTGCCAATTGACTGCTCACTCTCGGCTCCTCAAAGGAACAGCTCATCTCAGGGCACTGATGGGATGACAAATAACTTCTAGTAAGACAGTAACACGACAGAAGGCACTCTGCAACAATGCCAGCATTCTACCAAAATAGACAGGCTTCTGACCAACTCAGCTGACAACAATGCAGTCATGCTGACTCATGGCACCTGATATGTTCATAGCTCTGAAGTAGTGTGAGACTCAACACTCCAGCAAGCCAAAGGCTGAAGTGGACACAGGTTAAAGGAAGATCACATCCCTAGACTTCTCCTTTTTAGTGTGCATGGAATCCCTCCAACAGTAACACACCATCTTGGGCAGAGGTTCTAACATTTTCCATCTGTTAGGCAGACACCCTTTGCCTAGTAATTCCACTGCAGTCATTATACCATGTTCACTAGATGCAGACAGCCTGCACTTCGCTGTGTCAACTATCTGAGAGTTCTCTGGTGTAACAGTATGCGATAGGACTATATGGTTAGAGATATGCCTGACTTTCTACCCCATTTTGGGAAAAGCACGAGCACAGGCCTGACGTGTTTTTTTGCTTTGCTGGACATTTTTTAAACACATGCTGCTAAGCATTTGCATACAGAAAGCGTGCTCGAAGTATACACTTTCCACCTGGTGATAATGGTGGTATGCAGTGTAATGAACCATTACGGGGATGCATTTCACTGTGTGAAACTACCACCCTTACACACACAAAGCTGACCCCAAACACAGAGGACAGAGTTGAAACAATAAATGAAATGCTGCTGGTGTTTTCTCTTGTTCCCTACTGCCAACTTGTGTCTCAAACATTAAGACATCACAAAGAACATAAACTCTGGTTAGCTGCCTGTGTAGCTACCATTCACTCTATTCAGCCAAGGCTCTTTATTTCTCTGGGCACAGCAGTTTGTGTTAGCCAGCTGGGAAAGGACTATTATCAGTAACAGTGACAGACTGGCAGAACTGTTTAATCTGACAGGAAAGTAAAAAGTGTGAAGTACAGCTCAGAAAATCAGAGTAATTTCACTTTGAAGTCATGAAGCCCAACTATTAACTCCTGAGTCAACAGAAGGCACCTACCTCTGTAACTAATGCCCCAAGCCTCACTCTGTCTCAGAGAGAGGACTGGCTACAGCAATTCTTGCTCATGAGAAGCTGACGTATGAGTAAGTCTGTATGTGATGAAATCTTGGCTTCATTTCTTTTTTCCTTTTTACTTACCAATAGTATTTCATTAAGCCTGTTTCATGCCACAGTAACCAGAGGCAAGAACAGCTTTGGCTACCCAGATCTCTGTCCACTTCCTGCTTTTTTTGCTCTATCCAAAAACGGGGGCTGCTATCATGGAACAAAAGACTTCAGAAAAATGGCTTGGCAGTTGAGGCAGTGTGACATCTGCTAATCATATTGATCCCAACTATTGATGCTTCTGTGAGAATCCCTCTTTTGTACTCATTTGGCTTTCAGTCTCACAAACGCAAGATCTATTGATTCACAGCAAGGTGATTTTAGAGATGACTGCTCCAAAAATTTGACTACTAGAGTGTGTACCGAAGCCTCAGTCACTCGTCCACAGCCCAGGATATGAGCTTAAAGCAACCCTCACAACAGCTTCAATCTAAGGTGATTAACAGCAAGTTGTGACAGCTGAAGAATGAGCACATTTGCTTGTTTCCTTCTGTCTTTATTACTCCTGCAGACAGTTGGAGAAAGCAATTTCTAAAAACTCTCTCTACCTAGAATAAACATACAGAGTCTGATTGTCAAAGACAGCAGCTGCTGAAGTAGCAGCTAAGTTCTGTCAAAGAAATTTGCTTGGAAAGTCTCAGGGAAGTCCAGTAGACTGGAACTACGCTTTCACAATGGTATTTGCTGTACCATGAGCATATTAAAAAGTTCACCTGTGGTATCTTGCACAGGAGACTCAGAGCAATTGCTCCAGAGCCACAGCCAATCTCCAGGATCACAGGAGATGAGACAGCAATCAAGAAGGCTGAATTCTTCGCCTCACATTTCCGAGATTCTTCCTCCACAACCAGAGAGATGAGATCCTAAGAAAACAAAGATAAACATTGCTGTGACTTTTTGATAAGGGAACTGTTTTGACTTTGTGGAGTGAAGGAATTAAAATTTCTTCAGTCCATAGCCTAAAATGTATTTGTTTTGCTGATTTTTAAAACACAAATGACATAGCAGAGCTGACAGGAAGTCATTTAAACTTCATGTCCTCCACACGGTGCTTTGACAAGTATCCTGAGGATTTTATTATGACTTCCCAGAGATCCTCTGAGGTCTTCTAGCACTGGGAAAAACAGTAACCGAACAGCTGGAGCACATTATCTTCTGTAACACCATTTTATTTACACCAAAATTCCAGCCATTAGTACTTGTAGGCTTCAAAATTTAATACTTCTAAACTTCTAAGTAATCTAGAGACAGCTATGCAGTTCTGAACAACATCTTAATCCAACCTGCAGATGAAAAGCAAAGGCAGAGAATTAAGTGACCCATACAGTGAGTTCCCTGAATGGATTTCAGACTGTGGACTCCTACTACATTTTGTTGTTGCACAGAAAAGACTTTCATCCCTGCTTCTTGAGCCCTATGCACCTCTGCTGCCAACGTCTCTTCCCTGCCATTCATCTAGTTTTTAAATCTCCTGGCAACATCATGTGAAATCCAGCACAGCAAGAGAGGTCTTAAAGACACAGAGTTCCCAGCTTTGAGACACTAGTTACTACGGACAGTACACGTGCCTCCCTCACAGCATGAACTTCTCTGGCTATTCATCAGAGAAAACTACAAGAGAAATGTAAACACCTTGGGTGTGTGAGCACTTGCCGAAACTGCTCATAACTCCCTGAGATCCTTGTTCCTTCATGGCACAACCATACAGAAAGAAAACAAGGTCTTACTGCCCAAGCTGCTCCCACAGTGGCTAGGCTATTCACTTAAGAGATTTGCTCTTGAATCTCTCCTGTAAATCCAGAAAGCCTAGAAGGTCACAAAGAATTGGCTTGATTTTACCAATGAAAGACTTCATGAAGAAAATCCTTATGCAGAAATATCTAAAAGCAACATATCCTGACAAGTGAGTCAGCTTTAGCACAGCAGTGGCTTTTTCCAGGAGCTAAAGTCAGGTCTGCTTGTACCTAAGGATATAAGCCCTCCTTTGGATATATCACCCGACGTGGGGTACAGTGAAACAGATGGTTTGTACACAGGTGTGGAGTCTTCATCAAGATAGCTGCTGCTGTCAGTTGATCACCCTTCATGTTGGGCTGGTTTGCATCTGTGGGATGTAGTGAGAAAGGCTGCAAACAGGTGTAAAAATATAAAGCTGGTGTAGATGAGCTTCTGTGGAAACATCCCCAACAACAATCCCTGAGATGTGGGCTGCTTTGTCAGATGGCATTTTTTTGAGACACTCACAAAACATGAATTACTCTTCAGTATAATAAAGCACTGTGCCCCTTCACAGAACTGCAACTTGCACTGCTTCACAGATCTAGATAAGAGACGTGTGTTTAAACATTGTCCTGCCCTATGAAAGCCAAGCAGCTTTGAAATGATTCTGCTTTTTTAATAGAACACTGTGCCTGAAAGCATAAGCAGAAAAAAAAGATGTGGTTTATTTGAATATGTAGACACTCTGCATTTCTCCCAGTAACATTACTTCTTGTTAGATCAGCTTCTGAGCTGTTGCCATTTCCAGCCCATCTGCTTTGGCCTTTGCTTTTTTTGCAGTAGTATGGCCCTGCCAACATTATCCTTAGGGGAGTCACTGCATCCTTGACCTTCTCTGGGCTACTTTTCACAGCCACAGACTTTTGAAGCCTTTAGGGGGCTTTTTATCAACAACCTCCTTCAGCTGTATTCATCATTTTCTTTCAAATTCCTGCAGTCATCGAGCTGGAACAAGTCAGGGATGCCCATTCTTTACTCACCCGGATAACAACAGCCTTTGTTCTTCTCCAGCCTGTGCCCTCTGCCTTCCAGAGCTCACAGCAATGAGTGCAATTGTGCTCCTACTTGACACCAAGAGGGAAGGGGGTAGCAGAGGGAGCTACACTGTGATCTCTCAGGACTGCATCTTCTCTGCACGGTTCAGCTTGGGGCCCAGCCCTGCTGGCGGCCTGGGCAGATAAGAGGTGCCATACAGCAGTGCCCTGCCCTCATTACCGTGCCTCAGAATCACATCTTCCTTGTTGCTGCTCCGGGATTCCTTTCCAGAAAACTGTGGAGGAAAATATTCCCATATCCTGCAGGAAACTGTTAAGAGGACCACCAGCATTCAGATAATGTGGAAAAAAGAAACACCATATCTACCCACTTGCGCGTGAAAGTGGCTTTTGCATTTCAGCTAGATGCATCAGTTTGAAAATACTTCTGAAAATGAGGACAGGCAAAGACTGCAACCACAGCAGGTGCTGATGATTCCAAGACCACAGAAAAGCCATTCTGCTCGGACACTGAATTGCTCTCAAACGCTGCTCATTTCTGGTCATCAGAAGTATTTCCAGGAAACTCTCTGCACTAGCTTAGAAGAGCCATCCATCTCCAGGGTTGGTCACAGAGAGGCACAAGTTACTGATTACAAAATGTCCACAAGTAACTTCCTTAAAGTAGAACTACTGTCAGCATTCATTAACATCATTAAGGTTTATTATTAGCAACTTCAAGCTTGGAGTTATTATGGAATTTCTGCCTCACATGCTCCACAGTAAAAATAATTTGAGAGCGCTTGCCAAAGTGAGCTCTGTTTAAATACAACTGACTTCAGTTTTTAGCACATGTGTATTAAAAAAGGGATATTGATACAATTTCAGCATCGTATCCCCCCTGACTCCCTTGCCTTACTGCCTGGTTATTTCATATACTTTTCCAAAGCAATTTCCCTCATAAGAACTATTTATTGCAATAGTTTAAAATTGAAAGACTGTATTAAAAGCAATGTGACAAGCTAAGGAACTACTTTTTTTTTTTTCAGCCATTAGTATCTCACTGCAGTCAAAGAGTTCAACAATTATGAAACTAAGTTATTTTATGAAACAAATTCAGCTGAGAACAAATAGAAGGCGTTTGCTAGCCAGCGTATCAGGAAAAAGGAAATTACTAGTATGGTTTATTCTACATTGTATTGAATCTGTAACTGTACATGTACTAAAAAGAACAGAAAACAATGTAGAGGAATAAGACATTTCAGAAATCTGCACTAACTGGCTGTGATGCTAACTGTCCTTTCCTTGACTTACAGCTTCCACAAGAAAAACAAACTCCGCCAGCATCTGTAAAAGAACTGGGCAACCCAGCAACCACAAAGCAGAGGGGCCCAGTGAGCACGCTGCCATGGCCACCAGCTCTCCTTCACAGAAATCACGAGCGACTGAGCTGTCCAGAGCTGTTTTAAAAGTGTTCTTCACGTGGTTTTGGTATTTTTCCATCTTCTATGAAGCAATTTAGTAAAAATCTGTGTTTCCTCAGCCCTCTCAAGATGTGACTTGAAATTGATGAGCTACTTTGTAAAAAGTTGAGAGATAACGCACGTCTGGGCACACATTCCTGCACTCATATGTAGGGTACAAAACACCATACCAGACACCCCCTACTTCTGCAGAAGAATCTGACTAGGGCCACACATAGGGAAAAGCAACCAGCAGGCAGAAGATGCTAAAAAGAAAAACTGGAACAACAGCAGATGGCCAAAGGCTGCGGTCTGTGCTGTGTGGGATACACTACATCATCTCCAACTGAACAGTTTCAGACAGCAAACATCTGCTAACAATGCCAACGTTGCTTAAAGCCATCTTAGCCCTCAGCTTAGTCACCAGTTCCAAAGATTGAGATGAAATCAGAAATTCCAATGGGAAAAAAAAAAAAAGAGAAATCATTTTGACAGTCCAGTACATTAACCTTTGGAATACATTAGGTAAGCTCTCCACAACCTGCCACCCTACACTTGAAATGGCAGGACAAAAAGGCCTACTTGCACTCACACCACTTTCAAGATTGAATACATCAGAGAAATATCCCTCACTACAGAAAAACGCTCATTTTGATTAAAATACCAAAACAAACAGACTTCACTGATTTTATAGGATCTAAAACCTTGTAGCACCAGGTGCCTCGTCCCTGAAAAATACTGGAAAAAAAAAACAAAACAACAAAAAACAAACCAAGAAAGTGCTGTGTTAAGGAACAAATAGAATTGTACATTAAGAAAGTGTTTGAGAAAGGTGACCTGATTTCATATCTACCCACAGCACACTAACCACTGTGGAATGATTAAAATGCGAATTGTTGCTTACAGTATGTGTCACTGTCAGTAGCAACACACACTGAAAGTCTTGCTAAGCAGTGCTACAGGTACTGGCAGAAACAGGTCCTAGAGCGTGGTACACACGTGAGGGTAAGACAGTGAGCCACTGCTGTCCCTTGGAGCAAAGCTTAGGTATGATTAGAACTGCCCCACAGCTGTCCTGTCCCTCAGAGCTTGCAGGATTGCCATGCACCTTTCCAGGGTACACCTTCAAGTGTCATCATCCTCTGGGGCCTTTGTCATCTGCTACAGGTAGGCCAGCTTACAGCTCTGCACTTACTGGTGTGAATAAATCCCAGACTCTCTGCATGTTGCAAATTTCTTCATACAGAAATTCTCCATTCTTCATGGAGAAAAAACAAACAAAAATAAAATCAAGAAAAAAATATCATGAGGCAATGAAATTCCCCCACAACTTCTATCTATGATTTTGTGCAAATAAGTATTCAGGAGGGCACCCAGAGCACCAGCTACCTCCAGAAATTATGCACTCATGAGCGTGGTAAACTGGGCACAAGGCAAAATACCTGGAAGGGTTTTTACAGTGCACTGGTCTGAAGGTGATGCAAGCATCCAGGGATTTGTTTCCAGGTGTACAAATGCTCTTGTTTAGCATGGCGTGGGGACAAGTTGGCAGGATCTAAGCATTACGTACCTTTGTCAGAAGAGTATTTAAAAAATCTGTAGGGGAAAGGGCAGGGCATCCTCAAGAGTGAGGGGAGTTCTGGTACT